CTCAGGTCATTAGGGATCTGGTATAACTTACACCCTCCAAGGAGAAAACATAGCAGTTGCCCCTGCTCCCCCGCTCCCCCTCCTCTTTCTCAGAGGGCCACGGGAGTTATGAATCTGAAATGTCAAGTACAGGCGGGAACTGCTCAGACCCAGCCATCCTGAGGCAGTCACAAGCCTCTCTTTGGCTCTGCCAGTGTCACTGTTGTTGGTTTAGTACTGGCACAGGAGGATTCATCATTTAACAAAAGAAAGGGAGAAAAATGGCAATTAGACACTTGTACATGCCTGGCAGCCGGAACCTTCTCCTCACCTGCCGTCGGGCTCTGTTGGAAAGCAGCTTCAGAGGTCAGGGAAAGGTAGGAGAGCAAGAGTAGACTGTTTTAAAGGTGTATATTATGAGGCTTAAGGAGGAAAACTGTATTTAGCCTGGACATGAGAACATGTAAAAGAGTGGAGATTTGTTTTCTTTGAGTCTAAAAACTGTTATTTTGGGAAATGTGGCTACCAGCTCTTCCCTCTTTCCATGTGGCCAGGTCTAGAAGAACTGGTTTTAAGTTGCAGTGGGTGAGATGAAAGCTAAACAACCAGTATTCAAGCGTTTTGAGAGGTGATGTTGCGTCACGGTGGGTTAGCAAAAGGAAGAAATGCACCAGATATTGAGAGGTATGGACTCTGCGGCCAGCCAGTCTGGCTTTGATCCTGGCTTCAGCACTAACTAGTTCTGGGACCTTGGACAAATTACTCCACCTCTAAGCCTCAGTCACCTCATCTGTAAAACGGGGATAGTGTACCTACTTCCTCGTAGCATTATTTTTAAGATTAAAAGAGTTAATATAGGTAAAGTGCTTTGAACAGCAGCTGACACATATTAAGGACTATATATTTGATAAGTGTTATTAGCACGAACAATGGAAAGAATTTTAGGGTCATTTGGACCAACACTTTATTTTACAGATTAAGAGGCAGTCACAGAAGATAGAATCGAGGTTAGAAGACTTTCTGCAGACTTCTGGTCCCGAGCTGTTGCCAGTACTCTTGGCTGTTTTAGAAATACCCATTACTTCAAAAGCATATCCCTTTTGGTTCCTCTTCCATCCTCTTCCTCAGAGCCAGAATTTCTCGAGTACTTCCTGTGTGCCATCACTGTGCTAAATGCTGACATATGTGACCTCATTTCATCCTTACAGCAACGTTTGAAGAAGGCGCCACGATTATCCTCATTTTTTAGAAGTAGCATCTAAGTTTCAGAGAGGTTCAGTTAGTTTCCAAGGGTACACAGCATCAAAGAGGTAAAGTCTGGATTAGAACCAAGGCTGACACCAGAGCCTGTGTTTTTAACCATGGCACAGATTTTCCTCAGAAAGTCTCAATAGAATACCGATGAGCTAAATCAAACCAACCATTGCTTCAGCAGTCACAGGGCCCAGCCATAAAGATCTGAGGCCATTTTGTAATCCCTTTTCAACCTACAGTCTGCTTTGTTTTCCGACCTAGGTCTCTCAGGTGTATTCTTATTTCTGACACAATGCTGTTTATATGAAAACAGGTTACCAAAAGAACTTCTCTCCCTGATCAAGAGAATGAAAGTTGAAGGTCCTGGAGCAGATGAAAAGAGGCCAGGACCAGAGCTTTCATGAAATAGGGACCATGTGGGGGTTATCAGGACTCTGGGCAACATTGGGGTCACTGCCAGGATCCTAGTAGACCAAAGAAGAGGAGTCAGATGTGGGAATTCCTAGGCCAGTGGTTCTTTACCTCCTTTAATCCCTGTAAGATTCAGATGACAGTCATGGACTCTCTTCAGAAAAATGTACAAGCTCACACACCATAAAAGTTTTACCAGGTGGCTTCAGGGTTCATAAACTCCAGCTAAAAACCTCTGTATTAGGCAGCAGAGTAGATTACTTAAGAGCCCACTCTGGTGCCAGATGGCCTGGATTCAAATCCTCTTCTTCCATTTATTAGCTGTGCAACCTTGAACAAGTTAATGGCTTGGGCTTCAACTCCCTCAACTGTAAAATAAGGATAATAATAGTATTTAATTAAAGGACCGTTTGGGGGATTAAACGAGTTACTATATGTAAATGCCTAGTACATGGTTAGCTCTCCAGCAGTATTCACTATTAGTGGTAGTAGTATTGCTATCCCCAGAGCTTAGCCCATTCAGTAAATGTTTATGGACAGAATGAATGAATAAAGATGCCAAGTCTAGGGTAGAGTATCCCAACCATTGTGTCACAACTGGGCCATAGTTTTGTCAAAATACTGATCCAATCAGCCCTTTGGGCTGCCAAAGCCCTAGCTGCTTGCTCCTGGCTTCAAGCAGCAGCATCCAAAGTGTGACATACAAATATCCTTCTCTCGGGGTGCCCTGATGTGAAGACAGTTTGGGCAGCACTGATTGAGATCAGCTGGCAGGTAGTGAGAACCAAGCAGGAAGTCCAGACTCCAGGTCCAGGAGAATTCTATGGATGGGTGGCAAAGAGAATCTTAACCCCTGAGCCTAGAGCAGAGGCTCTAGTACGCTCTGTACTACGGCAGACGCAGAGCAAGTGCTGCCAGTAGGACACTCCAGCACTTCCCTCCTGGCACGAGGACCTGGTAAGTCACTGAACAAGGAATTGTGGAGAGCCCACAGTGAACCAGGAGCCAGGCTGGAGCCCAAAGTCTTGTATAGGCAACATGTGTTAAAGAGGTAGTGATAAGTACTGAAGTAGGTGACTCCAGGATTGTGAGTGCCAGGAAGAGGTAGTAGCCAGGGCTGCAGGGACTTATAAGGTGACCAGCCTTGCCTGCAAGGAGAATGAATTCTTAGGGTGATAGGAAGCCACTGAAGAGTTTTAATCAAGGAAGTGGTAGATTTAGATCTGTACATAGACATTCTGACACAGTATTACAAAATGAATAGGAAACAGGTAACGATTTATTGAGGACATATGTTAGGAGGCTCTTACATTAGTCAAGAGGTGCAAGGTGATACTCATCTGAAATTAGGTACCTAGACTTGTCTATCTTTTAATTTTTTAAATTAAGGTATAATTGACATACAACATTACATTCGTTTCAGGTGTATAACATGATTCGCTACCTGTATATATTGTGAAATGATCACCACAGTAAGTCTAATTAACATCCGTTCTCTTAGCAACTTCCAAATGTGCATTACAGTATTATTAACTGTAGTCATCATGCCGTACATTACATCCCCCAGGACTTATTTTATAACTGGAAGTTTGTACCTTTTCACTCCCTTTACTCATTTTACCTACCCCCAACCCCTGCCTCTGGCAATTACCAATCTGTTCTCTGTATCTATGAATCCATTAGTTTTCTTTTTTAAGACTCCACATGTAAGTGAGATCATAGTGTTTGTTTTTTCTCTGCCTGACTTATTTCACTTAGCATAATGTCCTTCCTCAGGGTACATCCATGTTATCGAAATGGCAAGATTCCATTCTTTTTTGTGGCTGAATAATATTCCATTGTGTGTGTGTGTGTGTGTGTGTGTGTGTGTGAGTGAGTGTGACAACTTCCTTAGCCATTCACCTGTCAGTGGACACTTAGGTTGTTTCCATGTCTTGGCTATTGTAAATAATGCTGCAATGAACATGGAGGTGCATATATCTTTTCAAGTTAAGGTTTTTGTTTTCTTTGGACAAATACCCAGAAATGGAATTCATGGATCAAATTTTTAATTTTTTGAGGATCCTCCATACTGTTTTCCATAGTGGCTACATCAATTTACATTCCCACCAATAGCACACAAGGGTTCCCTTTTCTCCACATCCTTGCCAACACTTGTTTTTTTCTTGTCTTTTTGGTAATAGACATTCTGACAGGTATGAGGTGATATCTCATTGTAGTTTTGATTTGCATTTCACTGGTGATGAGGGATGTTGAACATCTTTTCATGTACCTTTTGGCCATTTATATGTCTTCTTCGGAAAGATGTCTTTTCAGATCATCTGCCTATTTTTCAGTTGGATGGTTTGGCTTTTTGCTATTGAGTTATATGAGTTCTTTGTATATTTTGCATATTAACCCCTTATCAGATACATGATTTGCAAATATTTTCTCCCATTTAATAGGTTGCCTTTTCATTTTGTTGATTGTTTCCTTTGCTGTGCAGAAGCTTTTTAGTTTTTTAGTCCCATTTGTTTATTTTTGCCTTTGTTTCCTTTGCTTTGGTGACAAATCCGAAAAAAATCATTCCAGGACTGATGTCACGGAGCTTACCACCCATGTTTTCTTCTAGGAGTTTTATGGTGTCAGGTCTTACATTCAATTCTTTAATCCATTTTGAGTTAATTTTTGTGTATGTTGTAAGATGGTGGTGTACCTAGACTTCTGAGGAAAAAGGAGGAAGCAAGAATGGCCCTACTGGGAATTCCCTGGTGGTCCAGTGGTTAGGACTCAGTGCTTTCAGTCTGAGGGCCCAGGTTCAATCCCTGGTCCAGGAACTAAGATCCCTCAAGCCATGTGGCCAAAAAAAAAAAAAAAAAAAAAAAGAATGACCCCCACTGATTCTGGGTGGCTGGACAGTTCTGGACAGTGGAACAGTTCTTGGGGTAGGGAACATTGTGTGTTCTGTTGGGGACTTGTGCTGTTTTTGATGCCTGTGTGATATTTACAAGGCTGGTGAATGGATAGATCTGAGCACAGGAGAGATGTCAGAATGGTCACAGAGAACCAGCAGCAGTGGGGTTGGCCGCCTGCCTTCAGTGGGGCTCCCTTCTAAGGGGAGCGAGTTTAAAAGTGGGTTTTGATTAATGAAATCTTACTTTACAATCAATTTGGCTGGCATGCTTCTCTTGCATGCTCAACCTTTAGAATTCTTAAGTGTGTATATTTTGAACTCTCTTAATAAAAACCAACATAGTTCTCTACTTTGAAAAATTCACCTCTTTTTCTTCTTGGCTGGCCTCCTTCACAGTCACTGTGTGTCCTTGCGGCAGGAGGAAGCCGTGCAGCTCATAATATGACACTGTCCGTTTTCTCAGATTTGTGACGCCAAAGGAAATCTCTGACCTCAGCTGTGGCTCTCAGTGCTGGGAAGAAGACAACTTCATGTCTGAGTGTACGAGCAGGAGTTTGCCATGGAGAGCTTGGGGCTGCAGACGGTGACCCTCAGTGACGGGACGACGGCCTACGTCCAGCAAGCTATCAAAGGTATTTCCGGGGACCTCAGAATCCCACCCTGTCCCTGTCCCAGAGTCTCACGACCATCCTGCCTTCCGGCCTGCTTGCCACAACCTGCTCTGCATGAGAATCTCTCAAGGTGATTGATGGAAAGGGAACTCCTTAAAATGAAATGCCACATAGGCAGGCTAGAAAATCAGACTAGCCTAGCTATAGGAGCCAAGACCTCTGAAAGGCAGTTTCCTGACATGTGGTGAGTGGTTCATAAATATTTCTGGAATGGATGAACACAGTGCTGGTTGTGACTTCCTGCTTTTCCAGTTTCTCAGTGCTTTCTAGAAGCAGTTCATTTTAATTTAAGCAAGTTTAAGCAGTCAAACTATCTTCTGAGCATCTACCATGTACAAGATACTCTTCTAGGTTCAGAGGGGCACCCAGGCATAGATCTCATGCCTTAGACCCCACTAGGGTGACCAGAAATAAAAATACAGGGCACACAGTTAAATTTTTTTATTTTATTTTATTTTATTTATTTATTTTTATTTTTGGCTGCGTTGGGTCTTCGTTGCTGTGCGTGGGCTTTCTCTGGTTGTGGTGAGCGGGGGCTACTCTCCACTGCGGTGCACGGGCTTCTCATTGCAGTGGCTTCTCTTGTTGTGGAGCACGGGCTCTAGAGCGCAGGCTAAGTAGTTGTGGCGCACGGGCTTAGTTGCTCCGTGGCATGTGGGATCTTCCCAGACTAGGGCTCAAACCCATGTTCCCTGCATTGGCAGGCAGATTCTTAACCACTGTGCCACCAGGGAAGTCCTAGTTAAATTTTAATTACAGATAAACAACGAATAATTTTGTAGTATAAGTATGTTCCACATACTGCATGAGGAAGACATGTATAAACATGGGATTAAATATTAAAAACAGTAACATAATAACACCAAGTACTAAAAAAAACTTCATTGTTTATCTGAAATTCAGATTTACCTGAAATTCAGATTCTCAAGGAGGGCGCGGAGTCAGAACAGAGCGTTGTTGAAGGGCAGGGCCTTCTGGCCAGGGACGCTCACCATCCTGACAGCCTCTTTCTTTCTCGCCAGCATTCTCAGGCTTGCCAGATGGCATGCGTGTCTTTCTTGGACAGCACTGGCCAAACACCGCCTCATTCCTACTCTTTATTTTGTCATTTCTGGACTCTGTAAGCACCGCCATCCACATGACTGCACTGTCATTGTAACATTGCCCTCCTTCATTTCAACACATTGTCGAAATGTATTTCAGGTCCCAAGCTTACAGATAAATTGTTTGTTGATTTCATTTTAAATCATCTGCTTCCTGACGACGACAAAGAGGCCCCTTAAACTCATCAATAAGCTCGTTCCATATGATGATGTATGGGTCTGGCTGGCTTCATTTTTGTGGTAATGGAACTTCTCTAGAATACTTGTGAAGCCTGCAACCCTCTGTTTGCAGACTTCCCATTACAGGTCTTGCCCCTTTGCAGCAGTCTCAGTGGGATGGAAGAACTTAGGAACTATAGTTGGGGCTGTGTTTACTCTGTGGACCCAGGTAATTCCCATGCCTCAGTCTTCTGTTACGAATTAATGGTCGACTGAATGGATACAAAACAAGTGGCAACACTTGGCCTGAGAAAGCCACACTCTTTTCTTACATCTTGTCTTCTTATGTCTGGATCTCTTTGCCTCCCCCACCTCTCCGTTTATATCTTCCTCTTGTCACTCTTCCTGGCTCTGTTCTCTGCCTCCTCCATGGTGCTGTAGTGTGTGCTTACACGAGTGCGCACACACACACACACACACACACACACACACACACACAACAGATTTCACACTGCTGAGAGCAGAGTTGGCCCTCAGGAACCAGAACCTCACTGTCCTGAAAGGCAGCTCTCTTGCTGGTGAGCTCCTCTGATGCTCTTGACCAGGACACTTTCATCTCTGTCAGCAGGCAGCTCTGCCTGGGCCCAGCTTAGCCAGCCGGAAGCCCTAAAATTTTATGACAGTTACCTATAATTAGGGTAAGCGTGAAACCTGTTGTTCAAAGCCGACACTTTGGAGAATGGAAGAGCGTACTGTGAATAAAGGTGCTGGCACCGTTCCAGGCAAACCGGAACGTACAGTCACCTCTGTAGTGGGGAATGAGGGCCCTGACGGTCAGCTCTTCTCCCCCCTGCCTCTCCCCATTGTCATCTCTGCTTGTTAAAGGAAATTCTAGATTGAAATTTTTTCCCAAATCACTCTTCTCAACATCTTGTTTCCCGCCTTGAAGCAGAACCCACTCCGCTAGCAGAAGCTCTGATGACACTTTCAGAACCCCATGTACTGGTGCCCTTGCCAGGACAGCTAAAGTGTTAAAAGGCAGGGTAGCTTACTGCTTGCTGGGCGGGAGGGAAGAGGGGGAGTCGCTCTCCCCTCGTCTCAACTGCCTTTCACTCCTGCTTCTTATCTTTGTCTCCACCTTACCTGCCTCTGGCTGGGTTGTAGAGCTGTTAGTTATTGACCCAAGAAAACTCAGTTTGGGGACAAGTTTGGGAATTCTTCTGAGTGGGAGACATCAGCAGAGGTGAGCTAGAAGTAGCTGTCTGGTCCTTCTCCCACATCATAGGAGCTCAAATTCCTAAACCTGAAACTTGTAAAGAAAGGAACAAAGAAAGCATTTGTCATTAAGTCTTCAGTCTCCCTTTCCTTCTTCCCTTTCTCACTTCCTTTACCCCTTCTCCCTCTCAAACTCACTGGACATAAGGAGAGGCCTATCTAATTCTAATTCTAAACCTAAGAGCCTTTGCTCTTAGAAGAGGAAACTGAGGCACAGGGAGGTTAAATAAGGTGTCCAAGATCACACAGCTAGTAAGAGATAGAGCTGAAATTCAAACCCAGGAGGCCTGGACTGGTTCCAGAGTCCACTGCTTTTAACCTCTAAGCTATATTGCCTTATCAGAGGGTCTAGGTCTTGGCATACTGCCACAGTGGGAGACAAGGGAATGTATTTTGATTTAGTTAGTTTGAGTCAGATCTGAACTTTGACGCACTGGGGCCTTCCCACATTTCAGGGCATCCTTTGTTTGCCATTTAGCTCAATCTCAGCAGCTTACTGCCAGGTTGGAAGTCCCTACTTTGCCAGGTGTGGGTAGAATAATAAAGGAAGTTGCTCCTCCTGTGAGTGACAGGAAGGGAATCTGCTGGGAGCTATAGGGTTCCTCATGGCAGGATGTCTCTACCCCCGGTACCTCTGAGGCACAGGCCTGGGAGGGAGGGAATGAGGTAACATGGAGAATGTCACCTGTGCTTAGACACACGGTCTGTGCCTCCAACAGGCCTCTGCTAAAACAGGCATGTGTCCCTCAGCCCTCTTCTGGGCTTGGCCCGCTTCTCTCCATTTCCACCTCCACAGGAGAGAAGCTTCTTGAAGGGCAAGTGATCCAGCTCGAGGACGGGACCACTGCATACATTCACCAAGTGACAGTGCAGAAAGGTGAGGGCATCCTGAGACACCCCTGCCTCATGAGGCAGGCCAGGCAGCCCCCACTGAAGGACCCACCTCTGTGACACGGAGCTCCAGAGAAAGGCAGGCATTGCTCTCGTTACAGAACCTCTTTCCTTTGAGGATGGACAGCCCGTGCAGCTGGAAGATGGCAGCATGGCCTACATACACCGCACACCCAAAGGTGGGGTCACAGTTATCACGACTGGCAAGAAGGAAGGGAAGCAGAACTGGCAGAGGTTGGGGGTTGGAGCTGTGCACCCTGGGAGCTGGGGCAGAGACATGGAGCTGTGGTCTCCAAGCTCACCTGCATCAGCAGGCTCGCCTGCCTTCCCTGGCATGGACCACAGGAACAGCTGTTTCTGCCCCCGGGAGGCTGAGCACGGGGGTCTGCAGCCTGGGCCTTGATGGCGGCTTTGGCTCCAGCACAGCCACAAATTCTTAGGGCTTTAAATAGGACCCAATGACGTCATCGAAGACCAGGACTAAAAACTTAACTATCATTTTTTTAAGAATTAAGCTTTTAAGGTATTGAAGAATAATTGATTATTCCTTCTACAAGTAGTTTCTTGAGCAATTATTGCGTGCCAGGCATGGTACTAGGTGTGGAGTATATAAGAGAGAACAGAGTTGGACATAGCCCTTACTCTCCTAGAATCTAGTGGGGGAAATAGGCCTGAAATGAACCATCATGATGAACTGATCATTGCAAACGGGGTTCAGGCTCAGGGAGGGCTTCTCTGGGGAAGTGACACTTGAGCTGAGAGTTGGAGGGTGAAGTGGGCTTAGCTGGGGAAGAGCAGTGGTAGGGAGGGTTCAGTACCCCAGACAAAAGGAACAGCATGTATGGTCCAGAAACGGGGGTGGGCGGAGAGAAAGAACGGCACGTCCAAGGAACTACTAGGAGCTCAAGTCCTGGGGGTGAGGGCAGAGTGGGTGAGATGAAGCTGAATAGAGAGGCCGGGAGCCAGAGCACTGGAGCTTCAGGATAAGGGTTTTGGTCTTTATCCTGAGACAGATGCAACATGGTTGAACTGTTTAGAGCCTCAGGTAACGTGATCGCATTTCTGTCCTGCAGAGATCCCTCTGGATGCTCTGCTGCCTGGAGGGAATGAGGGGGTGAGGGGCCACCAGTTAGGAGGTTCTTGTGGTCATCTAGGCCAAGATGATGGTCCCCTTGGGTCCTCACGGAGCTTGTGGGTTCCCAGTCGGTACTCCATAGGAGACCTCATCCTTAGGAGAGGCTGCCCCAGAAGGAAGGCCAGCCAGAGTGAATCGCCAAAGTGAGGGACCAGGAGAAACCCGAGGTTAAAACCCTCCTTGGTGCATGTACCTCTCGTTACCTTAAAGCCCAGGTCCCAGCCGCGTCTTTTGCCCTTGTGCAGCATCTGGGCTAACCGCATGTTCCCTGCAGAGGGCTATGACCCCAGTGCCCTGGAAGCCGTCCAGCTGGAAGACGGCTCCACTGCCTACATTCACCACCCCGTGGCTGTGCCATCCGACAGCACCATCCTGGCCGTGCAGACAGAGGTGGGCTTGGAGGACCTGGCCACAGAGGATGATGAGGGCTTCAGTGCGGACACAGTGGTGGCCCTGGAGCAGTACGCCAGCAAGGTGAGCTCTTTTGGCCCTGCCAAACCTGCCACCTTTCTAGAGGACAAGGGCAGTCCTGTGCCTGGACATGGCCGGGACTACTTCCTTTGCCCCTCCACACTGGCTCCCCCGACTTATCTCTCACACGTCATCGTCTCGGATAAGCATCACAGCCTGGCCAGGGCCGCCGACAGCTGTGTATACTCAACGCTTGTTTATGCTGTCTGTGCAGAGGGAAGGCAGCTGTAGGAAACAGCGATATCCGTACGGTGGGAATTTAGGCCCAGCTTCACTTTGGCTGTACTGTCTGAGAAAGCTCTTGCCTTGCCAGTGAATTTTATTAGTTTTCCAGTCCACGGAGGTCAGATGTTCTTGTATTTATTTCTTCTCTGCGACTTATTAAGTCATTTGGGAAAATAACCTCAGTAGGCAGTGACAAGAGCAGATGTAACAGAGCAGCTGGGATTCTTGGAACACAAGGCTTGCACAGTAGCTCAGCTGCAAAGAAAAAGGATCTTGGCTTTCCAAACATCAGTCAGTCTAAGCTCTCTCTGCTGGGGCTGTGGTCCTGCCCGTAGGGGGAACCGGTACAGAGATCTGTGAGCTTTCCAAACCAGGGTGTTCCCTCTCCCCATGAACAGCAGCGCCTCAGGGCAGATGTGGCAGGGCTTCCTGGAACACCCGTTTTACCCAAAGATTGGGGGGAGTTATTTTTATAATAAAACTAATGTGGCTGTATCATAAAAGAGAAAAGGAAATCCTCGTGTCTTTTCAAATTGAAGCACAAAACTTTGCAGTAGGCCCCTCTGGGCTATGCCCACTCCCACTCCAGTTCCTTCAGGTGTATTTTAGAAGCCTAATTTGAGGCTTACGGACGTTGGAAAGACAACTGAGCTTTAAATTGTGAGCCCTGAGATCTGTGCTGGCTCTGCCTCTACCTAGTCTGACCTTGGGTAAGTCACTCCCCTCCTAGGCCTCAGCTTGTTCCTGTCTCATACGATGAGAGGGGGCCAGATGATCTCAGAGGTCGCCTCCAGCCCTGAAGTTCCTTGATTCCCTTCATTACCTCAAGAGCCAGTGGGACGTGGGAATGAAATCCGAACGCCTGAGCGGGTTAGCCTGCCGAGCAGGCCTGGCCACCTGTGACCCTCTCCTGCCACCCACCAGCTGCTTAAGTATCCATGGAACTTTGTCAGCTGCTTGACCCCTTGACCTGGAGCTGACTAGACAGACCTTGCCATGGATTTGGTCTCCCTCTTTTGTGTCCTGCTCACCACGACTTCCAGAGTTCTGTTTCAGGAGCTCCTTGGAAGGCCATAGTGTCCCAGAAACAAAGACTGAGGGACAGTCCCAGCAGGACTCTGCCCAGGAAAGCAGAAGAACAGTAAGGGCTCCACGAAGCCAGAGGCTGGTGTGAAAAGGGTGTTCGCAGGAGAAAGGGAAGGGAACGACTTGTTAGATAGCCGGGTGCCGTGGTTGGAGCTGAGGCTTCTGGTGGGACTTTCGGGCCCTGCCCTGGGCGCTTGTGCAGTTTGTTGATTGTGACCACCTCACTTCCGGTGAACGCAGGTGAGCTCATCCCCACAGCAGGCCACTTGTTAATGCCCCTTCCAAACACAGGTTTCCCCCAGGGAGGGAGGGATCTCCTCCCATCAGAGGATAAACATGTCCAGAGTTGCGCCTCCTAGGTTGGTGGTCAAAAGAAGGGGCAGCTGGCATGTGGAGTCACCACCCAGCTCAAGTGTGGCTGTTCAGACCGCTCCTCCCCTACCTTACCTAGCCGTCTAAGAGATGCCCTTTCTCCCAAAGCTGTCACAGCCCCTATGACATTTAGTCATTCCTCTATCCATCAGAGCTGGGTGGTGACTCCACGTGCCAGCCCCATTTCTTCTGCAGCATGCCCCAGTGTCTGTTCCATCTATCTGGATCTGTCACCCAGGTTGCACTTCTCCCCTTTGGTAGGTTTAACCCTATTTATTGGGTCTTAAGGGGCCAGCTGGGTCCTGTGTCCTACCTCTTCCCTTCTTTCATTGAGGAGAATACATATAGGGACCCCAAGATTTTTTTCCTCAGGTTCTGCATGACAGCCAGGCTCCCCATAATGGCAAAGGACAGCAGGTTGGGGACAGAGCATTCCGCTGCGGCTACAAGGGCTGTGGGCGTCTCTATACCACCGCTCATCACTTAAAGGTAAGGTTGCTGCAGAGAGCTTTTAGCCTTGCCATCTTCCCAGCAGGCTGTAATTCTGCCTTCCCGCTTTGACTGGAACTGGTCCCTGACCTCGAGTTGCTCATTGCCTCCTGGAAGGAAGAGATGAGTGTACAGAAAAGTCAGCACAGAGGGCTTTGACACACATGAAGAATGCAGGAGGGAAGAGAATCAGGGAAGGGTCTCTGGAGGGGGCATCTCAGCTGAAGAGGAAGGAAAATAAAGGAGGTGGCCAATGCTGATACTCCGGGCCCTAACGAGAACTAAACTGCCCATTCATACCCTTGTCCCTTTGAATTACATGATTGCTTGTCCTCACAGGTACATGAGAGAGCTCATACAGGTGACCGTCCATACAGGTGTGATTTCCCCAGCTGTGGAAAGGCCTTTGCCACAGGTAACCTATCTGGATGGGGACCAAGGTGGACTGCTTCCAGTTGAGGGGAGAGGGTTCTAGATTAGCTCTGGCAACTCCCTCAAGGAAGCCAAGCACCAGGCTGCCTTCCTGGAGAAACTGCTGTCGGAGTGCTCTGATGCAGGGCGCCGTCTCTGGAGGAAACCCTGTTACAGAGGCAAGAGGCAGCAGGAGCTGGGGGTTGGCAGAGAGACCTGCCTCTGCGTCAGCCCTGATACCCACCAGCTGGGGGTGCCGGGTGGTCGGTTGAATCCCTCTAGGCTTCATTTTCCCTCTGAATTGAGGCCCTTTAGCCATAGGTTCTCTAGGTTCCCTCTTACACTGGTTCTGGAACGGCACCAGCTTCCCCTGGTGAGGGAAGGAGAGCAGAGTGGGCTTCTCCGGCCCCTCTTACCTGCCCAGCCAGGAGTGGGATAGAGGCAGACACAGGCTTCTTGTGCCAGAGGAGGTCCGGAGCCTCGCCGAGCAGACCTAAAGATGGAGAGCCTCTGAATTAGGAAGAAGAGTTGGTGGAGGATGAGGCCCCACCCAATGCTCTTCTCACCCCTCCTTCCCTCCCTCCCACACGCGGACAGGATATGGGCTGAAGAGCCACGTGCGCACCCACACTGGTGAGAAGCCATACAAGTGCCCAGAGGAGCTGTGCAGCAAGGCCTTCAAGACCTCCGGAGACCTGCAGAAGCACGTCCGGACCCACACCGGTAGGCTGGGCCCTGCCCGCCCTGCCCCGTTCAGACCCGGCTCTGAGCCCAGGGCTCGCCCTGCTCCGTGAGACCCCTTCAGAGCCACCCTCACACAGCCCATCTCCACAGGTGAACGCCCCTTCCGGTGCCCCTTTGAGGGCTGTGGCCGCTCCTTCACCACATCTAACATCCGCAAGGTACATGTGCGCACCCACACGGGCGAGCGGCCCTACACCTGCCCCGAGCCCCACTGTGGCCGTGGCTTCACCAGTGCCACCAACTACAAGAATCACGTGCGCATCCACACAGGTGGGCCAGCTGGCATGCAAGGACCACCCCTGAGGCCCCAGCCCCCTCTACCATAGGCTTCTGACCTAAACATGTTCTCGACGCGCAGCCCAGAACGCCATTCCAGGCTGGTCCGTGGGCAGGGCACGGGGTTTCGGTGGTTTCGGCCATATCCCCAGAACCACTCTTTCACTTGCAGTGAGCGGTTCCTCCTTCAGCAGTTAGGTCCAATCTGATGGGCATTGCTGGCCCTCTCAGCTCCCTGCTGCCTCTCTATACCCACCCGAAATTCTCCCCCTCCAGCTGAGCTCCCAGAAAAAGCCCAGGGTCAGGCGTGATGGGGAAAAAGCAGAGGGAAATGTCATCTTCAGCTCCTCACCTCATCCACTGTCCATGTGACTCCTGTGTATCCTCACCCTCCCCAGTGTTACGTCCCTGTCCAGCCTTCTGTGTCATCTCCCAGACGCATGTGTCCCCTCACTCTCCCATCGTACCTGACATATCAGTCACCCCTCTCTATCTCCTGCCTCTTCTGTTCACAAGCCCCCAGCGCCCCCCACCAGCCCCTTCACTAGCCTCGGCCTTGCCCCTGCCATTTTCTCTCCACCTCGTCTCTGGGCTCCGTGGTCCCACACTCACGTCCCCTCTGCCTTCCACTGGCCACCTTCCCCAACTCTGTCCATTCAGAGTCCCAGATCTCAGTCCCTCTTCCTCCCTCTGGCTCTCCCTTCACCAACCCTGTCCCCCGCTCCTATCCCCTTAGTTTCCCCTTTGCCAGCCCCAGGTCCCACCCCCCTCACAGCCCAGTGTCCCCAGGGGAGAAGCCATACGTTTGCACGGTGCCAGGCTGCGGGAAGCGCTTCACCGAGTACTCAAGCCTGTATAAGCACCATGTGGTGCACACACACTGCAAGCCCTACACCTGCAGCACCTGCGGCAAGACCTACCGGCAGACCTCTACCCTGGCCATGCACAAGCGCAGCGCCCACGGCGAGCTGGAGGCCACGGAGGAGAGCGAGCAGGCCCTTTATGAGCAACAGCAGCTCGAGGGTGAGGGGCGTGGGCAGGAGGTGAGAGTGGGGACAAGCCGGGCCTCCCCGTGACCACCTGGTGGCAGGTGTCAGCCTGGGCTCTCCTCTCCCAGCCGCCTCTGCAGCCGAGGAGAACCCGCTACCCAAACGACCCCGCATTGCTTACCTGTCGGAGGTGAAAGAAGAGGGTGATGACATCCCTGCCCAAGTGGCTATGGTGACCGAGGAAGATGGGGCCCCCCAGGTGGCTCTGATCACTCAGGCTGGTGCCCAGCAGGTACAGACCCTGGGGGTAGAGGTAGGGTGGGCCACTCTGGCTGGTACCCTCTCCCACTGTCTCTGGGGAGCTCCAAGTTCTAACAGCCCTACGTCCACCCAGTTTCTGTTTTTTAGCCTTATGGATCTCAGAGCTGAGGCCGAGGGTACCAAGTCTTGTAACACAGCACCCCCCTCTTCCTCATGCTTCCAGCTCAGTCTCTGTGACTTCTGGAGCACAGTTAGTAGTTTCCCTCTTTACTTGGAGGATGACAGGTCCCGTTCATCTGAGTGAGACACTTGGATGTCCTTCTCAAGAGAGACATGTCGGTACACGGGCCAGAGCATGGTGTGGGATCTGGAAACTTGGCATTTCTAGCCAGCAGTATAACCTGACGTTTGTCAGCACCCTCACTGTCAAGTGCACTTATGACTTTCAGGGTTGATAGGAGGATGAAATTAGGTGGAGACCCTGAATTGCATGGAACAGAGCCCTGAGGCAAAGTGGTGATAAATAGGTGTGGTCAGCAGAATTCTTCCAGTGTAGCCTCTCTTTGCATCCTAGGGCCTGTTTTACTTGCTTGTCCTGACTCCCTCCACCCTGTGACAAGAAGCTAATCTTCTAGCTTACCAATAAGTGAACCTGCTCTGGGAGAGCAGATTCATCTGCCTAGGGGCTTTCAGACAGCCCTCCCCTCCACTCCCAGCTCATCTTCTTCCTTGCTGTTGGCAGGTCAGCCTGTCACCAGAAGACCTGCAGGCACTGGGGAGTGCCATCAGTATGGTGACCCAGCACGGCAGTACCACCCTCACCATCCCTAGTCATGATGATGACCTTGCCACATCTGGCACACACACAGTCACCATGGTCAGCGCCGATGGCACCCAGACGCAGCCCGTATGGCCAGGCGGTTTGCTTGGGGTTTCTTGTTCTCTTGTCCTTCCTTTCTGTGGGATGAGCCCTAAAGTGCAGGCTTAATTAGTCAAGCCTTCATACGAGGACCAAGATTCCCACACATAAAGGGTCTTCCCTACATCTTCTCTGGGTCATCAGCAACTCTTGTTGAAAAGCATTGCACTGGGAGTCAAGAGACAGTTTCTAAATCTGTCTACCCCTAATTTGCTCTGCTGCCATAGGCAAGTTACTTTTCCGTGAACCTTAGTCCATCTTCAAATGAGGGGATTAGATTATCTCTGGGAGCTTTTACAGTCTGTCCTTCTGTGATTCAAAATTCCTAAATTAAGTTGGCTGTAAATTAAAGTAAAATACAACCCCACTTAGCTCTGAGCCCCAAGCTAATTAATTAATCTGACCCGTAATGGTTTTATTCATTTCCTTCTGGATTGTTCCCAGCCACCTTGCTTGGAGGGATTTTTTGGATTGGGGATTGGGAGAGTAATGTAGGTGTGTTGGAAAACCTCATTCTTCTATATTTCAGGTCACAATCATTACCTCTGGGACTGTGGTGGCTGAGGACTCCAGTGTAGCATCTCTTCATCATCAACAGGTGGCGCTGTTAGCCACAGCCAATGGAACTCACATTGCGGTGCAGGTGAGTTGAGGTCTGGTAGGATACTGTGGCCACAGAAAGGAACTAGAAAGGAAGGGGAACTAGAGGGAGGTCTTGAAGAGGACAGCATTTGGCTCAAAAAGAGCCCATTTCAGAGGACAAATCCCTTTCTGCCTGCATCCACACACCTGTCTCAGGCTCTTTCTTGACTGAGTCAGGGTAGGGAGCCCCTTCTGACCTTCAGGATAACTTCGATGGCAGTCTCCCTGGTGGTCTAAACCCTTCATGTCTTCGTGTCCCTGTTTCTTCATCTGGAAAATAAGGAGGCTGAAGTAGATGATGACTCCAATCAGTCATTCCCCTTCTGTGAGCAGACTGCCCTGTCTGACCCTGGACCATTCCACGGCTCCTCACCACGCCTAGCCTAATAGGACTCTATGAGTGAACTTCCTGTTCCTTGGGGCCCTACTAAGTTCTCAGGTGTTTGGCACTGGGTGGGTGGAGATTCAAAAAAGTAGGCCTCATATACTACCACTGGAATCTAGGAAGGAGGGTCTCACTCTCTCCTTCCTTCTCCTCCCCCTTCTCCACAGCTGGAGGAGCAGCAGACCTTAGAGGAGGCCATCAGCGTAGCCACTGCTGCCATGCAGCAAGGGACTGTGACCCTGGAGACCACAGATTCGGAGAGCGGCTGCTGAGCCCGAGAGGGCTGGGTCCCACACCATGTTGGAAGAGGTGCCATGCCGTACAGGCATCCTTGCCTCCAAGGGCCCAGGCTGTGGCTGACACGTGGAAGGTGTCCACACAGGTCTCTAGGGCAAGAAGGCAGCAGGAAAATGGCCTGAAGGGCACAGGGATCCTGCCCAAGAGAAGGGCCAAGCAGCTGGAATCGGGGGAGTGTGTCATCCTCAGGAGCTAAGGAGGACAAGCTTGATCAGCAGGCTGCCCTGGGGTGTCCTCCCCCCAAAATCAGCTGAGCACCCTCTCCTCTCTCTAGAAAACACCCTTCCCGCCCTTGGTCCACTCCCCTTCTCAGGTGGCAACTGGGGCTGCTCTTGGGACTGGTCCTCTGCTCCAACTGGTCACTGCCCACTAGGGGAGAAGGCAGACAGCCCTTCAGCCCAGTAGGGGCAGCTTGGGTCCAGCACTGCCCCTCCCAGCAATAACCACCTCCCCGGAGGCCAGCCGAGATGTCTGGCCACTTGGCAGCAGGGACTTTCTGCCACTGCAGTCAGAATTGCTCAGGGGCTTGTGGCTGGAGAAAAGGTGCCCAGCCCCACCCCTACCCCCAGCTGCTCCCCAACCTCTCTGTGGCAGAGAGGCAGGGAGCAGCCTTGTACATACTGGGGATTGGGTGTAATTGGTTTTATTTTTTTTAATTCCATTTTGATAATTTTTTTTCCTGCTCTGGATGGTGGTGGCAAACGGGTGAATGAGTATTTAATAAAAGTTTCAAGTTTCCACCTGGGTCCCTCCCTCCTCCTCCCTTCTTTCAGCTTCGGGCCCTGGTGGCAGGGCTGGTCAAATCAGGCTCTTGGCCCTGTATCCCGGGCACAAACCTCACTCAGCCTCTGTGCCCGGCTGGTAGGCCTGCCCTCCCAGAGGCACAGGGGGAAGGAAGCCCTGGTATGAGAGAAGCCCTGAGGCGCTGCCGGTGGCTTCCTGCCCACAGCTGAGCAAGTAGGCTCCCGGTAGCCAAGCAAGACCAGTGTGAGCACTGCTTCCAGGCTCCGGTTGGGTCTCAGGCCTCAAGATGGGTGGGCTGGAGGAACTCTGTTTTCTCTACCTTACCTTGTGTTATGTCATCAGAACCCCACCACACACAGCACACAGTCCACTGCTCCAAGCGGGCAAAGCCCCATGGGGGGGGGGGTGCCTTTGCCAAGGTACCCAGGGTCTCTGATGCCTCTGCTGCCTGGTGCTCAAGTCCTAGCTTTGGTACCCAGCTCTGGGGGTACCCACCTAGGTGTCTGGGGCCATGGAATTCCAAAGCCACAGTCAGACCCCACTGAAAAGTACATGGTAGGACCAGCCCAGCCCTGGTGGGAAGAAAGGGATGCAGGGAAAGGGACTTGATGGAAAGAGCTCTTGGGTTTGACCCCTCCTGCATGGGAGCATTGCAGGGATTGCAGGTGCCGCTTTTCCTCTCTCCATTGTCATGGATGTGCCCCACCCTCTCCCCCAATGCAGACATCCTCTCCGAGGATGCCTAGCAAGGTCTTTTACTCTTGGGCCACCAGCTCCTTGGAAGCAGGGGGAGCTGGGACATGCCCCCAGGGAGGGGTGTCTCGATTGCCCGAGCAGGCTCCGTCAACGTCCAGGGCCACTGTTCGTGGCAGGAATATGCCCCAGCCCTCACAGGTATTGGATCTAAAGAAACGGAAGCACTGATGTGGAAGGCCCTAAATCGCCAGCCTCCTGCTCCCAGGCACCCCTGAAGCTGGACCCCACCATGAGCCTCACCCCCATGAGCTTCAGAATCTCTAGGTCAGGGCCAGTGGGGCCCCAGAGTGGGCAATGCTCGGGGTGCCTTTTAGAACCAAAGCCTAGGGGATGGGGAGGCAGCCGATCATGTGCCAAGTCCTCCTGACCTGGAGCGGTGCCCTGGCCCAGCTCCTCCTCCAAGTTTGTATTGTTGCCTTTTGTTTTCTTCCACCTGGGAGGAGCCCTACCACCACGGTAATGTTAGATGGTCCTAAAAGAAATGCTTTATCCACTGCCTACTTTGTGCTTTACATCCATTCTCAGACCTCTTTACAATCTATGAGGTGAGTATTTCTCCTGCTTTACCAATGAGAAACTGCTCAAGGAGGTTAAGTTATTTATCCAAAGCCTTCTACCTGGTAAGTGTGGAATTGGTACAGGACCTGCCCCCTTTTATCTGACTCCAAAGTCGGGATGGGCTTGCTTTTCCCTCATCAAGCTGCCTCTGGGAGCCCAGAAGGCTCCAGGAGGCTCTGGGGCTGAGGAGGCCTCTAGAGGGCCTCACACCCAGGGAACCAGGCTGATCAGAGTTGGAGCTCTAGCTCCCCAGGGCTTGGACCCCAGTTCCCATGCGGGGAGTGGTGCCGCTGAGCACTGCAAGAGCAACAGGCTGGGTCCTGCCAGTGTGGGGAGCCCGCGAGAGCAGGCAGGTGGAGCTGTTGCTCTGCACCACGGCCCTTCTGCGGTCTCTGCAGCCGTTTGCATTTCCTGAAACCGGATCTTGGTGTCAGAGCCGCCCCTGGGCCGGGCGGGCGCCTCAGCCATGGCCCTGCGCAAGGAGCTGCTTAAGTCCGTCTGGTACGCTTTCACCGCGCTGGATGTGGAGAAGAGCGGCAAGGTCTCCAAGTCCCAGCTCAAGGTGAGGGGCACCTGGGGCGCGGGGGAGGCCGGCAGACACGTCTCATCAGCCCCTGCTGCCTGAAGCTAGACTTGAACCCTGTGCTCCTCCTGGGGCACCCAGCTAGCCAGGGACCCAGGAGGGGTGGGAGGGCCCGTGCTGGGGAACTGGGGCAACATGGCCTAGTGGATGCTGCTGCCCCCTGTCCAGAGGCCCCAGTGAGGTGTGTGCAGGGGCATCGCCCAGAGCCCTGGCCCCCAACTCTCGGGAGAGTAGAGGTGCCATCATGGGGTTCTGAGGGCCACAGGCCAAGCTGCATCCCAGACTCCGTGTGACGGGCACACGTCTCCCCAGAGTCAAGCTCGGGCACACACCCTACTCCTTCCTGCCGCTTCCTCCTGGCTTTGAAGAGAGACAGTTAGCTAGTGCTTGTCAGTCACTTCCTCTCGGAGCTGAGAGAGAGGGTTCAAGAGCCTCTCGCAGTCCCAAACCAGGCCAGCTCAGTCATCCTTCGCAGGAGAGCAGCTCCCCTGGACCTTGCCTCCCAGGTGGGACAGAGGTGGGAAGGGGCAAGGACTGAAGACCCCATTATACTGCTGCCTGGCTCACCACCCCCTTCACACCGTACACGCCAGGTTGAGAAACTTACCTTAGACCCTGAGAACTCGAGTAGGGAAGGGGTGGAATCTGAGCCCAGGAAGAGCCCCATCAGTGATTGCTCTGAAATTCATGCTTGGTCCTAGATAATTCCTGGGGGGCCGAAAAGTTTATCGCCTTCTTTCCTGTAGCCCCGCGTTAGTGCTGCCTTCACCCTAGTTAGTGGGGAAGAAACAAGGCCCTAGGCCGTTGGAGCCAGGGAACGCGGGGAGTCAGGAGCAGGGTGGGCGTCAGCCCTCTGGGATCCGCCTTAGGGATTCATTCATTCACTCTACAAATATTTACTGAGCACCAGCTACGTGCCTGGCATGAGGCTAGGCCATAGTATCCTGGCAACTCCCCTGTCACCCACCCCCCACAGAGGAGGAGTGCAGTCTCAAGGAAACCTCCATTCTAATTGATCGAGCTAGGAGGTGCCTGGAAACCTGGGAGAGACGGATAGGACAGGTTAGGCATTGTACCCCACCCCTATTCCATCCCCCTACTTTTGAACTTGGACACGATGAACTTGGATGTCCCAAACTGGTCCTATCCCATAATCGACCCCTTAGCCAGACTTGTGAGCATCCAGTAAGTGACTCTTGGCTCCCCCAGGAAGGAGAGTCCACTACCACTCTTGATCATCTGAGAGAATCTCCCAACAGACAGGTTCTTCCTTACGTTCTACTTAAATTGTCTTATTGCAGGTTATGTAATCTAGTGAGGTCTTCAGTATAGACAGAGGAAAAGCAGATCATCCAAAATCTGTCCTTGTGGAAACTCCATGTCCTACATCCACCTCCCACTCTGCCCCTTTAACATCTTTCAGGAACAATCCCAACCTCCATGGTTTGTTGCCTCCAAGGTTCCATTTTCTACCACTCCATTACCTGTGGCCCTATGACACCTCCAGACTCTCTAAGCCTCTCATACATGGAAGATACAGCACTCCATGGCTCTCCGGTTCCTGGGCCAATCAGGCAGTAAGCCTTCTTAGTTTGAGCCTCTGTCTTGGCCTCTAACTGGGTGGATGCCTGTTCCCCACCCCCACAGGTTGAGTATTTGCAAGGAAGATCGCCTGGGGAGCTTGCATACTTGAACCATCTGCTGTCTTTGTACCGTCGCAGCTCACATTGAGCCCACTGCCAGCAGCCTCTGTGGTCCCACAGGATCAATGGTAGATTTCAGCCCACTTGACAGAAAACTTGTCCACTCTGGGAATCTGAGCTAGCAGTGGGAGCCTCAGGCCCAGCGGCCGGTGGGGCATAAATGGTAGGGCCCATGTCAGGAGAGGAAGATAAGGAAGGCAATTCTCCCTCAAGCCCATAGTGCTAGATACTGGAATGGGAGGAAGTAGTGATAGTGTTGGGGGTGGGGATGCCTTTTTGGGGGTGGGGATGCCGGAAAGGCAAAAGAGCAATAGAGAAGTGGCCAGAAGGCAGAGGAAGAAGCAAAAGAGACACAGACCTGCAGGGCAGGGCACACTCCTTCCACTGGAAGACTTGGTGAGAAGGGAAGAGATCTTGGGGTTAGCCCGTCCTTGCTAAAACTGCCTCTGGCCTTGGCGTCCTCAGTTGGGAAGAGGCAGGAGACCCGCACCAGCCCAGAGCAGGCTGTGTCTGTCTGCAACAGTCACCACTTCTCCCCTGATGTGTTGGTAGAAAGGCTGCCACCTGCTGTCCTGGGCAAAGCCGTGATGAGGCCAGAAGGAGGAGGAACAGCAAGTGCTCTGAGAAGTACCCCAAGGAGTCAGGATTGTTTTCTCTGAAGAAGAGAAGGCTTGCGGGAGAGATGAAATGAGTTTTCTTCTCTGAATTCATTCTTTCTTTTTTTTTTTTTTTTTTTACGCGGGCCTCTCACTGCTGTGGCCTCTCCCGTTGCGGAGCACAGGCTCCGGACACGCAGCCTCAGCGGCCATGGCTCACGGGCCCAGCCGCTCCGCGGCAGGTGGGATCTTCCCGGACCGGGGCACGAACCCACGTCCCCTGCATCGGCAGGCAGACTCTCAACCACTGCGCCACCAGGGAAGCCCCTTCTCTGAATTCTTATAGAAAGTACGATAGCCTTTGTCCAGGTGGGTTGAGAAAAATAAAAATAGATCAGTAAGAATGGCACTTCTGCCCAGAACGGAGTTAGGTTGAACACAAAGTTTCTCAGGACTGTGAGCTTTGGCAGGGTCCTCAGAATCTCCCTCTTTAAAGAGCTTTAGGAGTGAGTTCCCATCCTGACAGTGGGCTGCAGGGAGGCGAGCCTTGGGAATGATGGGTTTCCTAACGGCCATACCATCTTCCCTCTGGGAGCAGCTTTGGCTTTAGGCTTCATGGATGATCAGCTAAGAATTTGGCTTCCTCACTCCCTGACTGCCAGGGCTGGGGAGAGGGGCCTGAGATTGGGCGCATGGTTGGAGCAGTGTGTCTCAGTGGGGATCCTAGGAGGCTCACCACTTCCCCTTGACAGACAGGAGCAGGGGGAAGGCAGGGAGGGTGAACTAGGGCCTTCCCTACTTGGCT